CCCTTGGTGTCCTCAGCAGAATTCAGACAGTTCTTGTCTTCCTGCTGGGGAAATGCCAATCAAACAGGCCTTCTCAGTCTTCTGTCTGGTCCTCCAGCAGCTTTTCTGATCTGTTTCTCCTTGCTAAAGGAGATACCAGGACTTCAATTGCTCCAAAGTTAGTGGCTTCACCCTTTTCCCCCTTAGGAACTTCTCTCTCTCTCTTTTCCTTCCTTCTTTCTTTCTTTCTCTTTCTTTCTCTTTTTCTTCCTTCTTTCTTTCTTTCCTTCTTTCTTTCCTTCCTTCTTTCTTTCCTTCCTTTTCTTCCTTCCTTCCCTCTTCTGAGTCTTCCTGCAGTCTGACTCAGCCTTGTCCCCCACCACCTCCTTTTATACTTTCCCTCCAAAGCAATTCTCCACCCGATTGGCTGCAGGGCTTGGCAGCTGGACTTTTCATTGGCTCTTAGCCTGGCTCTTTCATTGGCCCTTAAGCACAGACAAGAGACCAATGGGGACACAGTCAGCTCCTCATTGGTGGAAATTGAGACACTTCTGAACCTCAGGTTTTATATGGAAGAGGCAACTTAAGCTCTCCTAGGCTGACGATGGACAGTTTCCGCCCTTATTTATTTGATTTATGTGTGACCTATGACCCCAGTTGAGCCCCACACTTCTGTCGCTAAGCCAGACAGTTGTTAAGTGAGTTTTGCCGCATTCTATGATGTTTCTTGCTGCAGCTGTTGAGGCGGGGGTCTTCAAACTTGGCCCTTTTAGGACTTGTGGACGTCAGCTCCCAGAATTTCTCAGCCAGGCACGCTGGCTGAGGAATTCTGGGAGTTGAAGTCCACAAGTCATGAAGGGGCCATAGTTCCCCCATGCTGGCTGAGGAATTCTGGGAGTTGAAGTCCGCAAGTCATGAAGGGGCCATAGTTCCCCCATGCTGGCTGAGGAATTCTGGGAGTTGAAGTCCGCAAGTCATGAAGGGGCCATAGTTCCCCCATGCTGGCTGAGGAATTCTGGGAGTTGAAGTCCGCAAGTCATGAAGG